TCTTTGACAATATGGCTTCAAGTACAAACATATTAAAGTTATATCGGTATCCGGCTTTCTCAGTTCGTGTCTTATCCAAATCAAGCGCCCTTTCCCCCTTTCTTGATTCACTGAAGTTCGTTCAGTTTTTATCCCCAAGCTAGTGATTATTTCATTACATTTAATCTCCTTTTTAACGCAGCATTGACTCTCAATATCTACTTTAATCTTGATGTGATATTTTATAGCCGCTTTTTAAAATCCCAATTTTTAAAATACTGAATTATTTTTGAAGAGATTTATCTAGGATGGTTAAAAATATGTTATTGTTACCTCTAATTAGATGACTACAACAATGGTGCAAAAAAAAAAAAAAAAAAACAGAAGCATTCGTTGTCCAGATTTCCATATCGGGTGGTAGGACTGAGTTAAATAACGTATGACAATTTTCATCTTCGTAAACGCCTATTTTTAAATATATATAGACGTATCTTGTGACTGCTAGTAGGTCAGAACTGGTAACAAACAACAAATGACCCTGAGACTTATACTGATCGGTTCTGCTAAACTGAATTACAACAGTTCTGGTTCTATAATGAATATATTTAAAACCTATTAGCTGCGTCCGTGATATAGCAACTAGACGCTAGCATGCGGATCATAAGATCGTGGGTTCACATGGACGGTGCTGGACATTTTAAAAAAAATGTCGGCCTAACTTTATATGGGTAATAGGTTAAAGTCCTTGAAAGTAAAGGCAGCCAGCGTGATAATGACTACATCATCCACCAAGTGCTCATTGGTCTATAAAATATAGGTTTAGCCCTATATGCTCAGTACGACTAAAAATGGTATTTTTCCCCTTTAGAGGAGTCTATATTGAATACCACAGTAATGTCTTAGAATAGAAGGTGAAGACGGTTAGCGTTATGTTGACCACATTCTTCATTAAGCGCCAATTGTTTATACAACTATGGGTAACGCACCATATGCCGATGCGCCAGTCCTTTTGCTTAGTTGTGTTTTTAGCGGTGTATAGGGAAGCAATTACATATGACTGAAAACTTTTCATTTTCCACTTTAAAATTTTAGCCAAAATGTAATCACAACCTTACTTATTCGCTGCACCTTCATGAATGCAGATGGAGGATCTGTCGCACCTCGAGATAAATACAAAGACAATTTTTAGCACGCCGCGGTTGGCATTTTGTTAGTTAGTTAGTTAGTTAGTTAGTTAGTTGGGTTATCATCATTGCACTCCAGACATGTCCATAGGTGCTCAGATCCTCCCCTCAGTATGAATCCCAACGTCCGATGGCTAATAGTACCAGTTCTATGTTGATTAACAAGTCTTCTGACGTGTCTGGTGTGCGTCTCGTTTTTTGCTGTGCCTATCTTAATTCCCAAGTCTGCCATTCTGGCGAGTGATGTGGATTCACTGCCACCAAAGTCCTCTATCCTTCCCATTTCTCTGAGGGCATTGATAATATCAGCATGATCCATAGGCCGACCGTCGGTAGTGATAGCAGATCCAGCCAACCTGTCAGCTCTTTCATTTCCATCGACGCCTGCGTGTCCCGGAACAAAAATAAAGGTGACTCCTCGCACAGTGGACTTCTGAATTGATTCAAGCCATTGTCTTCGCAATGAACCTGCCTGAACCCTCCGGATCATACTCATTGAATCACTGAGTATATATATGCGGGTGTATTTTTGTGTTTCAAGCCAGGCAAACGCTTGCGTCACTGCCATCACCTCCATCGTCATGCTGCTGGTTGTCATGGAGAAGGCGCCGTTGGCTTCTTTGACTGTTCTGCCCGCTGAGCGTGCTGTAAATGGTTGGCATTTTATGCAGTATGATACACTTTGAGTGTAAAACAAGGGAAAAAACTCTTTTTGACAGTGGCGAGGAAAGACAATTTAAATTTTAACCTTTAATTATCCTCATGCTTTTCTTGAATAATGTCACAATTTATAGCCGAGTTTTCTTGATTTTCGCCGCGTCACCCCTGGCATACGCTCCCAGTTTGAGAACCTCTGCTGTAAGGCCTCAGTCGAGTCAGCAGGCAAAGACCTTGCCAGCTGCTGTACCACGCAACCGGGTCGCAGTTTTCCCCGCTACGACAGACTTAGGCAACAGCAACGATTGTGAAAATGAGAGAATTATTTAATTCCATCGCAGTGTATGCAGAAACGGGTGTAAGGTAACCACTATTCGTATTCGACCCGACCGCAAGTATTCGGCCGAATACCGAATAGTTATTAGGTCCACTACTCGGGCTCGAAGCGAATACGAAGCGAATATTCGGTACAGCCCTAGTAATAACTGACTTTAAACTGTAACTATTTATAGCAGCTCATAAAGATAATCAGCTCACAGTTTTGTGTTCGAGCCCTCATTGGTGCCGTTTTAAGAACTGACCCAAGACGACCCATGATAACATGTGTGCAAGTAATTTTCTTCGGAAATAAGGGTGGTCGGCTCAGAATTCACCACATTTCCCAACTGGTACCACTTGACCTATCAAAATATGTTTTAGGCCTCACGTATCCGACATGCCAATGGCAGGACATGAACATGGTCCTTGGCTTAACGTAGAAAAGGGTATGAAACATTTTGCATCGAACACGGGAAAATCTCTCGTCGTTTAAGAGTTAATACCGCACTCGCTTGTTAAACGAAGTGTGTCGTGCCTGCTGCATTGAGCATGACACCTGCGAAGTTTTCGAACTATCGTGTCAATTTTTCATTCCGTGAAGTGAACAGGATTTTGTTAAATCCTTGATCGCTGTCTCCCGGCGTAATCTCAACAATGTGGGTTACATAGGTCTCCCACATCACCGACTTTCAATTGAGTGTGACAACTCACCTCAGAAGACATCAGGTTGTGTCGTGACCATATGGTACCGGGGGGGGGGGGTGGCTGAAGGCCCCCTCGATAAATTGTGTAAACTCTTTGTTGAAGGTGTCCAAACACACACTCACTCACACACACACACACACACACACACACACACACACTGTCCAGTGACTGCCTATGACTTGAAATTACTTTAAACAGAATAAACAGCGATATAACCCTCCTTATACACTAGAGTAGTGTTTGCGTTTGTCCTAACTTAGAATAACAGTTAGCTAGCCAGTGTTTAGTGATAAGTGTATGTGTTATCAGGAAAGACATAATTTGTTTCCGTGCTAGAAATAAGAAGACCGGGTTTGGGTACAGCCGACTATAAACTCGGCCAAGTGGAAGGGGCAGGGTGGTGGTGTGGAAGCTCCCTCCCAACATTTTCTTCATGAGGCCGCACCTGCCGTAGGGTGGGGTGCCCAATACAACTGTTTTATACCGTTAAATGGGGTTTCTTGGATCGCATCTGCTTGATTCGCATCCGAACAATGACCATTTGAGTCACTCGCTATCATCTCGAGGGGACATGGAAAAACAAATTCAATTTTCTTTTCTAGGCCTTTGTACGTCATTCTGTCATACATTACTTGCCCATTTAAAATGTTTGACATCCATAGGCCCCAGAATCTAGGGGTTAAGCTCCCTTGAGCTCCCCCCCCCCCTTTAACACCTTAATAATTTTGAAAAAGGGCTTAGGTGTCACCGTGCATATAAATTATCTTTACAAGTATTTATTTATACATTTTATTTTCTTCTTCTTTATTAACCGGCTGTAAGCTCCCACGGAAAGTCTTGGTTGTTCGTCCATCTGGGCTTGGCTTTGTACCGAGCCTGAATTTTGCATGTAGATCCGTCTTACTGGCTTATTTGTGTACAGTTGGTTCCTTGCCACCCGGGCAGATGTACCCAGACTTTGAAGGAAGCCCCCGATTAGTCGACTCCTAGGACATGCTTGTTGGGGGAGGCAGTGGATGTATTATTGTTTTCCCCATAATGCGGCCCAGGAACTCAAACGGAGACATGTTATTTGATGTATTTTATAAAATTTACTACCAGGTACCGTATTATTATTATGTGATTAAACTAAGATTAAGCCTATTGAGGCAACTATTTATAAAATTGGTAAGGAGGGGAGGGGCGCGTGCTGGTCCTGAGTCCTCACTCTGCTCAACGTTTTCTAAGTATATGCGCCCCTGTTGACTTCTTCTAACACCTTTGCCTTTATTATCCCTCGCCTATATTGTTTTAACTCTTTCAGCCCCTAAATAGTGAAATCAAAAAGAGAAATAGAACTAACGATTGGTCACACACACAAAAAAAAAAAAAATGTAAGAACGATAAAATGAACGATGTGCTGAGAAAGTCTTTATAATACAAAATAGAAACGATGATACAACTTTATAAAAGACTATGTAAATATATAATATAATAGCATACATATTGATATCGGCCTGTGCTGTTTGAGACTGCATGTTTTGGCGAGGTTTAATCGCCCACGCCAGCCAGAGATGCGCTTGATGTTGACGGCAATCAAGGCTGAAAGGCAAACGTGATTAGACAAACGGTGCCGAGCTACTGCTGCCCTAATGTTCAGTACAGCTAACAGATTGTGCGGCCACTATATTCCAAATTTCAAAAGGATTTTGAATATTGTAGGATCGCTTCTTCGCTAGTCCTCGGCTCTACTTTGCTGTCTCTTACTATTAATTTGTTGTAAGTTTGAATACCATTTCTAATGACTCACTCACCCCCTCCCCCCCCCCGTGTCTAATTTAAATATATATTGATTCAATCTGCCTACATTAAATATAGACTTGTGGGTCACGCCTTAAACGGCGGGGTCACACTTTTACCTGTAATGTGAACTTGCGCCCCCGTACACCCCTCTGTTCCACACCTTAGTTTGTCGTTAACTAACGTCACTTCCCTTTAATCGCCATTAGGTGACAGGCAGGTAGTCACACATAACTTCCTGGTCCCATCTATAAGCTCATAGATTTATAATTGTATTAAATGCGAGAACACATTACTGAGCCTGTTTAAAAGTTGGCTTCACTAGCAATAGAAAAAGAAAACACGTCAGAGTAACACCTACTATTTCACGTGTCCACTATGCCTCGATTTTTCGGAAGAAAGTCCAGACATAGTGAAAACATTGGGGAGTCTGCCTCACAGAATCGAGATAGTCTGGTCGCTGCCAACAACAACAATGCACCCAGTTCAGAAAATTCCAAGAGGAAGAGCGAAATAAACAGCGAGGCAAAAACGAATAAAACATCAGTACTAGATGTGCCTCCGCCAATTGCACCAGTGCAACCGTCTCGACCGAAGCTGGTCTTTCACTGCCAACAAGCTCATGGCAGTCCTACTGGGATAATCTCGGGCTTCACAAATGTCAAGGAACTCTATCAGAAGATCGCCGACTGCTATGACATCCCTGTATCTGAGGTAAGTATAACCGCTGTAAAGGTACCAGTGTACCTATAGTCGTGCTAGTACTACTGTTACTGCCTGCTGCAAATGCTTTTGGTTAATGTTGTAGATAGGCTTGTTGACCTTTTTTTAAGTCGTGGCATGGTTTTTGCTTCTGACAATAGTTAGCTGTTGCATTTTCCTCCATATGTAGACTGAAAGAAAATAGTTGCATCGCCTAGCTACTGAGTTGAGTGTATGGCGTAACACTGGTTGTGGATTTACATTTAATTTAGAGTGCTTTTCACTGAGCCCAACATGGTTTGTGTTGTGAATTCAGATTTAGGAAACACAAGTGGCTTGTTGCCAAAGAACTTATGATGCCTTATGCAATTAGTTGCCTCTGAAACTTGTGACATGTTGTAACTACTACTTCCATTCATGACGGAGGGCATTTCTAGGGTCTGTTTGCACTTGTAGTGCACTTGTATGCTGTTGGATTTGCTATTTTTTTTTTCTGTCAATTTTTTTGTACATGGGACAGTGATGGACATTAAATGTGGTTTTCATTGGCACAAGAATGTAGCAAATATGTGGTTTACCGGTTTGCTCTGAAGTTGAAACTGTGATTACCTGATTAACTCTTTGAGTCCCAAGAAAGGTATCATACGTTCATAGGTTCCTAACTAGAAGCCCAATGAATGCAAGATGTACCAATTTTACTTCTCTTTTGACCACCCCTTGGGCCTTTGATGCTAAACCCCCTAGGACTGAAAGAGTTAATGCCATTGATAAGCAACTAAGGAATAAACAGGCCCACCAGATCAAAGAGGTTATGTAGTCTAGATAGCCACATAATGCATAGACGCATAATAATAGTGCAAAGCATTAAAATCAGATCTCTGTAAATTGGATTTGGGAACTGTCTAATGGCCTCTAATAGCTTTGACAGGAATAACCTATTAAATGAGACACTATGTGATCTTACATAGCTCCAATACCTTAATAAGATAGTATGTGAGTAAATGAATACAGAACTCTTTATGAGGTTTACTTAATGAATATATTTTTAATAAGAATAGAAGTGTGGCATGATGGTTTTCTGTCACCTTTATCATTTATTAGGTCAGTAAGGTAGATTGTACAGACATCAACAGTTACTGATAGAAATGGAGTTCAGTAGATTTTGACTGCAGTTTTTGATGATACTGACCTACACAGGAAATGAGAAGCAAGATAAAACACACTCGATAAGAGGGCACTACAGTTAGGCTAAAAATTCATAAGAACAATACAAAGATAAGGAAACAAATTGAGAAAATAATTTCTGCTGGTGACACCCTACTTAAAGAGGTGGAATCATGCACTCATGTAGGTAGAAATGTAGACAAAGATGTTTGCACAGGGATATTAAAACAGGGATGCCAAAATAAATTGTAACTTTTTCGAAGCACTGAGAAAGCAATGAAAGTAAAAGAAATTTAATCTGGTACGAACTTTTTTAACTCAGTGGTTGGTTATATCATTACATCTATGAAATAGGGTTGGGCTACGGTAGGTGCAGGACAAGCAGTGGACCAGGTCAAGGAGGCAGGACAAGTAGATGATTCAGAAGACGACAGTGAATCTGCAACATTAAATAGAAGAACTACAAGAACTTCTGGTCAAAAGAGGTATTGCCTGGCATGAACACTATTCAGGCAGCCAAAGAAGAATAGATAAAGATAATTGGTTGACTTAGTAACTAACCAGCTATCTTTGAAGTTGTAGTTCAGTCAAAACAAAATTTGACAGTGTGGTACAAAGAAATTATTCTATCAATATTTAAATGTCTGCTATGTTATTCAGAAGAATTTCAGGACTCTGATGAACTTTCTGGTCTCTGTTTAAATTAGACATTTTACTTTGATTTATTCACTTGTATGCAAAAATAATTAATAATTATTTTAAAATGTATTAAAATATTGTATAGTAATAAATTGTTTTGCTTAATTTTTGTTGCAGATTTTGTTTTGCACACTCAACACCCATAAACTTGACATGGCACATCTGCTGGGTGGCCAGATTGGCCTGGAGGACTTTATCTTTGCCCATATTAAAGGTCGACCAAAGGAAGTGGATGTTGTGAAATCAGAAGATGCTCTAGGACTCACTATCACAGACAATGGTGCAGGGTATGCCTTTATCAAACGTATCAAAGAAGGTAGTATCATGGAGAATGTGCCATTTATTGCTGTAGGTGACCATATTGAGAAAATCAATGGAGAAGTTTTAGTTGGATGTAGACATTTTGAAGTTGCTAAAAAGTTAAAAGAAATTCCCAAAGGAGCAACATTTACTTTGCGGACAGTTGAACCACTGAAGTCGGGCTTTTGTGAGTATAACTGTTTGTTTTCAGAGTTTTTTTTATTATTCTATGTCACACCTGTTCAATTTTTAATTTTCCATCTTTTATGTGAAATACATTTTTCTCTTTTTAGCTGTAAATCACAACATGCCATCCACCCTCTTAAGTGTAAATGCAGAAGAATAACGATTCTAGTTGAGGAATATTTCTAAAGAGACCTGGTTCATGTGGTCAGCTAAGCCTAAAGTTAGTACCAGGAAATATCATGGGAAGAAAAGTCAGCTAGCATAATATTTTCCACATCACCTGTCATAAACATATGGGGATTGCACCTTATGTCCACAGGGACAAGCCAAGGTGGACAGATCACACTGCTACTGGTACAATTCATACTGGTACTGTGTACATGCTTCTGAAGTGTTAATGGCAGTGTTCAGAGTGCTGTGATATTCTTTCTCAACTTTAAATATGTGTTCTTTTGTGCCATGATGCCAAACTGTCTAACTTCTCTTTATTTTCTTCTGTCTCTCCTATCCTTAACTTTCACTTTGGCATGCTCCAGTTTTCTTAATTTCTGTGATATGCCCAGAGAGTTGATTGTCATTTTCTAATGAAGACAGTCAGTTTTATTTGTGAGTTAACTGTTTTCAGGATAACTTCATTATGTGTCCATGGTGTTTTCTATCATGCTTTTATAAAGCCATACTCCATAACTTCCACATCATTTTTGCATTAACTCTTTCAGTCCCAAGTAACAAATTATACATTCATAGGTTTCCTATCTAGAAGCCCAGTGTACACAAGATGCACTGATTTTACATTTCTCTTTACTACCCATTGGGCCTTTGACGCTTAACCCCCACGGACCGAAAGAGTTAACTAATTTTCAGTGACTTATATCCGTACACCAGGATTGGCTCTGCATGGATATGGCTATAAGAACTCTCACTCTCACCTCAATTGACAAATAAAGATTATATAGACTATTCTTCACTTGAATGTGATGTGTGCTGTGTTTGTTTCAGCTATGCTTGACCATTAATTATCATATAAAACTGAAGGTCAATCCATGCCTAGCTCATTGAGTTAGCAATGGTGAACAGTAGCAGTTAAGTGTCAGATATGACATTTATTTCTATATAATACATAATAATTAAGTAATTAACCTTCAAATAGAGTATTTACTGGTTTTTTTTTTAACCCACAGCATAGTCGGAAAAAAACACAAATACAGTTAGATAGAAGCCAGTTGCATGCCCTCAATATTTATTAGCTACTGTGTGGTTTCACTAGGCAGTTTTATCTTCAGGAGTTTGCCATTGCTTTCTGAATGGGAAGAGGCTCCAAGTAAATGCAAACCAGTCTTCTGCCAAAACGTCTGCAGCTGTTTGGAACCTCATCATGCCTGGATTGTGAAACTCCATTCAGAACCCCTAAGCCACAGATAATGAAATGAGGGAATAGAGAAGAGAAGGCAACATTTCTTGGAAATGCAAGCAAAATGTAGCAGTTCCATATAAACTGCAAGTGAAAGTTGAACTGATAAAGGAAATTTTAAAACAATCAAAATATAACCACTATGTTAAAGGCCTACTGGAGGTACAGATTGAAGGCAGTTTAGCTAAAATTTTGAGATATGAAAGTGGAAAGATTATATCAAAAGATGGACATGCAGAACTCTGCTCAACAAAAAAAGATAGATTATTGAATATACTTCATTTCTAACCACCGCCCCCCCCCCCTCCCCTTTCTCCCCCAAATATATATATATGTGTGTATGTGTGCACACGTAAAAACACTGGCATTGACTGGATGGAGAACACACAGTTGGAGACTTCGATTTTGCTGATGATTTTTCTAAGCAAAAACAGCAATGACATGCAAAGGAAAACAGATGATTTAGCAAATGTAGCATCTGGGGTTGAACTACACTGGTTTCCATCTATGATATTAAACTAAGTGCACATGATAGAACTGAATGGACTACGAACCTTATGTGACATATAATGGCACACAACAAGATCATGAATGAATGTATATATATATATATATATATATATATATATATATATATATTATATTATATATATATATATATATATATTATATATATATATATATATATATATATAAAACACTTTTTTAATTGAATCAGGAGTCTTTATTCAGTAATTACTTTAGTAGCTTTGTATATTTCTGGTAGCTGGAATTATCTGCAGACTTCATCACCATAATATACTTTCAATGAAGATGTCATTAAGCTATCAGAGAAGTATGAGAGATTTTAAGGTGAATACATCTTTATTGCCATTTTTTAGGCATGATAATGTGTGTTTTTTTAAATCCCAATTCCAACATCAGGCTGGAAATTTCACAATAAAGTGTATCAATGTAATCTTGATTTCAGGCATCTTAGATCTTGATTCCAATCTTACTGGATCTAAATTACAAACCAACAGGTTAGAAATTTCTATCAGAATAATTTGTTTCCATTTCCTCTTGACAGCCCATATAGGACCAGCCTCCTCCAAAAAAGGAAGCAGCAATATTGGATCTGGAAAGCAGACATTGAGACTGCGATCATCAGGACCTGCTACAGTAGAAATAGTAAGTATTGATAAATAGTAATTATAATAACTAGACAGTATAACAAACTTAGGAGTTGTGGTGGCAAAGTGGTAATGTAAAGCTGCTGGGGCCAACTTTATGCTGAGAAAATTATGTGATGTCTTAAGGCAACTATGGAACCACTCAGCCCTATGTCCACCCTGACAGCTATAGTAAGTCAAGTATTTAGTGATTATGAAAATCAGAGTTCTAGCACACGAGATACACAGTAATGGAGGCAAGGAGGAACTCCAACACAGTGGATACTTTCACAAATTCATTTATTGACATTTGACGTTCGTGCTCAGTAGCATGCAAAATGAGGATGTAAAATACACAAACCTTGCACAGTGTGTTCATCTTAAGCTTGCTGGCTTTTCTTTCCAGAAAGTCCCCAGAACATATTTTGATATCCATTTTATGAGATGGGTCAAAAGCCATGTTTGTAGGAGAGAACACTCAAGAACTGTTGAAAATATAACCTAGAATGTTCTCTTCGCAAGAGGGTTTAGCAAGTACTGTGCTGTAAGTTTTGAAAATATCCATATAAGTATAGTAAATATGAAATGGAAATGAAATGGATAAGATATGGATTGTGGAAATGTGATCGTCCTAGAGAAACTATAAAACAGATGTTGAGAGAGACCAAAGCGGCTGGAATGGATTTCATCCTTGATATTGAAAGAATTGCACATGAAAAAGGAAATTGATGACTAGACTGTGAGCCCTATGTAATATGTATACGGCACAACAGGGTGGAGATTATGATTATAAATGTTCACTCGTGCATTACTGATATCTTCTGGGAAAGCCCAAAAGAGTAAGACTTAGCAAGCATGTCATAAGAGGATATTCTTCTTCTTCTTCTTTCGTTCGCATGAAATAAATTGTCTATATCTGCAAAGCCGTCTCTTGTATGAATTTCACTGTCTTTTGTAATTCACTAAGCGGCCCGTAAAGTTTGACTTCCACAAGTGTCTCTTTTGGCCAAATGTTTTGCCTGAAAGCGTTGAATATGGGACAGTCTTGAAGGATGTGATCTGTTGTTTCAGGTGCCAGTCCACAAGTACACATGGCCGATTGGCCAATTTTAAATTTGTTGTACATGTGGGAGCGAAGTCTATTGTGCCCTGTTCTAAGGCGAAGGATATAAGAGGATATTAAAAAGGGTTGGTCTTGCTGTTAGTTACTTTATCCCTCACCAATGTAAAATCAGACAGTTACTGGTACCACTGAAATTAGAACTCTGCGCTGGCTGCTAAAGATAGGGACAGAGTGTTTACCTTGAGTGTTGAGCATTGGCCAGATCCCCTGGCAACACCTCATACCGCTATTCTGTTCACACCCTAATGATCTGTTTGTGCCCCCTCACTGTTCACTCGCTCCCAAAGGGCCCTCACAACATTTAGCTTATCATACATCAGATAACCACCAAGTGGTGCAGAACCTGCCAGTTTATCTGCCTGGCAGTCATACTGTCGGTCTCAAACCAGCCTAAAATTGGTACCATGAAATGTCCTGGGGAGTATATTTGGTCAGCACATTGTTGACCACCACATCATGTCATCTAATTTGCCACAGCCTAGAATGTTGACCACCACATCATGTCTCATTTGTGAGAGCCTAGAAAGTTGACCACCACTTCATGTCATCTCATTTGTCAGAGCCTAGGATGTTGACCACCACATCATGACGTCTCATTTGTGAGAGCCTAGAATGTTGACCACCACTTCATGTCATCTCATTTGTCAGAGCCTAGAATGTTGACCACCACATCATATCATCTTATTTGTCAGAGCCTAGAATGTTGACCACCACATCATGTCATCTCATTTGTCAGAGCCTAGAATGTTGACCACCACATCATGTCATCTCATTTGTCAGAGCCTAGAATGTTGACCACCACATCATGTCATCTCATTAGTCAGAGCCTAGAATGTTGACCACCACATCATGTCATCTCATTAGTCAGAGCCTAGAATGTTGACCACCACTTCATGTCGTCTCATTTGACAGCCTAGAAAGTTGACCCCACATCATGTCGTCTCATTTGTCAGAGCCTATAATGTTGACCACCACATCATGTCATCTCATTAGTCAGAGCCTAGAATGTTGACCACCACATCATGTCATCTCATTTATCAGAGCCTAGGATGTTGACTTCCACATCATGTTGTCTCATTTGTCAGAGCCTAGAATGTTGACCACCACTTTATGCCGTCTCATTTGTCAGAGCCTAGGATGTTGACCACCACATCATGTCATCTCATTTATCAGAGCCTAGGATGTTGACCACCACTTCATGTCATCATCATTTGTCAGAGCCTAGAAAGTTGACCACCACTTCATGTCATCTCATTTGTCAGAGCCTAGAATGTTGACCACCACATCATGTCGTCTCATTTGTCAGCCTAGAATGTTGACCACCACATCATGTCGTCTCATTTGTCAGCCTAGAATGTTGACCACCACATCGACTCATTTGTCAGATCCTAGAATGTATGAACATCTGTCACACTTCAGAAGAAATATTGCTATCTTTACCTATAGTACAATATCCCAGCTGTTGTTGTAACTACTTTTGTCCCAACTAAATGCTTACCTTATCACTATGTGGATACTTTACTTCAGGGCAGTGTTTTTCAAACTTTTCTTGGTTGCAGCGTCTTTTTTCAATTAAAATTTTTCTACGGCGCCCTAACTTAAGTAATAGTATGACTATTTGTGTCTTGGTTAAATTAATTATGAAGCTTTTACAATATTTTGTGGCACCCCAGTTTGGGAACCACTGCCTGAGGGGATTCCTTCGTGAAGGGATCAAACCATTTTCCTCACACTTTTGCAGAGGCATTGTTCACTTCACGAGAACAATTTTTTATGAAGTTTCCTATGGATTGTCATTGGAGCTGCTAAGTTTGTTTTTTTATGTCACTTTTGGCAGAGAGAGGCCAAGTCGTTTGGGGTAACCCAGGATAATAATGTTCTCAACTTCAACTTGGCACTTTGCCTCCTCGTGCCCATACAGATATTATTTCCAATCCATTCTGGCTGAGACAGTAACTAGTTTCATGTAACAAGCACCTGTTACAACTAGCATTATTTGCATTTTAATTATTTTTAAAGCTAAATAAGCAGGCTAAAAGTGATATTCATGAACTTGATTTCAGCCTGATGATGTGGTTCACATAGCCACAGACAAGCTCAACAACCTACTGGAGTCTTTCATGGGCATCAACGATGCAGAACTAGGTAATCAACTATTCATCATCATCATGTGACTTGTTTTCATTACAAACCTTAACATTACAATAATTATTTGCTATTAATTTACATTCTTAAAATACAATAATTTTGCACTTTAAGTCAACTGTTTCTGTGTTTTGTTTCCAAGACTTTGCCTTTTAAAGCAGTTTGGATATTTCCTTATTCTGTTATAATTTTTTGTAAAAACTTCAAGCATTTCATAAAATAAAAGTTGGCTAAGTAGGACTTTGCTGAAATTGGATGTATTGGTCCAGATGTAGCAGATTTTACAGCATAGTTGTAAACAGCATAAGGTGCCAACCAACCTTTCATGAACACACAGATGAAGGTACAAAAGTCAGAATCATAGCAGTTTCTTTGAAATCTGACCTCACTGTTGGGTAAAAGAGACACACTCAAGGTCAGCATTATTTTGTACAACTGAAAAACCAGGTTAACCCATATGAATGCCCAAACTATACAGATTGTAAGTTTAACTCTCCCAACATGTTTTCATTCTTGACTCTTTGATCGAAGAATTTAATGCATTTCAGTTAATTCAATTAAAAAGACAGTTAAAATAGCTATCTGGGATGAAAAGCATTAAAATAGATCCCTTTTGGCTTAATTTTTCTCTAGTTTCATTTCTTCCCAAAGTACAATATTTTTAGATTATTAAAACATGATTTATTATTATTTTCTATTTGTGTCTCCAGCCCACTCAATATGGGAGCTGGGAAGCAAGGCAAACAACCCACATGAATTTGCAGAGGGAATTTATTTTTTCTTAGTATTTTTCATAGTGAATGAGACTAAATAAAGTTGGAATAATAAACCAGTTTAAAAAAAAGTAATTGCATAGTGACTGAGACAAAATAAAGTTAGTAATAATAAACCAGTTTTCTTAATAATTTCATAGCAAATGAGACAAAATAAAGCTGATAGCACAAATAGACTGTAGAGGTAGAGAATGTTGACTGGGAAGTTGTCAGACATCATTTCAACCGTATTTTTAATTTCATTTGTATTTTTCTATTTGTTCAGTATAAAGTTACAGTTTAGTACATTTTACTGCTTTCAGTTTTGTGCCATGTTTCCAATGAGGCTTTAATTGTGGTAAAGTTAAGTTTCAGTACGTTCCTGATGATTTATCTGAAATCAGAGACTTATTTCCTGGTGAACTTTTATGTCCTGCACTCAGGGAAGTTTCCTACTTACTGCAGCAAAGTAAAGAAGCTGGAAGTGTGTCATAAACATGCTAAAAACAAAAATATAATTTAATAGAAAAAAGTTATATCCTGTTCTTGGTGGAAGAGGACAATTCCTTATGGGTGGAATTTATTTTTCTTCAAAGATTATTAAAACATGCATGCATGAAATCTTTCCATAATATTCTATTTTATATTTGTTGCAAGAGTTTATTCTGTACATCTGTGCTGAACTCAGGATATAAGTTACCCCCATGTGGGATGCAATTTTTTTTAAAATTGAAGCCCCACCCTGGCTTCTGCTGGAGCCCCTGAATATAGCTGGGCATAGAAGATATAGATATAGCCTAGCCATAGATATGACCTTACGGCTGAAAGGGGTTTCTGGGACCTCTCCACGGGTGATCCTCATCCGTATGGTGGCACGTTGTGTCACTGGGTGTTTATCGCTTGTGTGATGTCCTAGTGGGGTACAACTACATACCTACCTGTGCAGAACTCTGTGGTGATTGTTTAGTGTAGTCTACAAGGACAAAATCCTTTTAGCATTTCATCTTGGCCAAGCTTTCACATTACTGCTGCCTAAGTGTTTGTATAAATCAGGTCAATACTGCAATTGTCTTATTTTGAGTTGTACATTTGGCATCTGTGGCTTAGGAGTCATAAACATAGTTTCACAATGATGACATTAGTTAGTTATTCGACAGATTATTATCATCGCACATCGAATCATTCAGTCCATAAGTGCTCGGATCCCCTCTTCAGTATCTCCCTCAGTGTGTAGTGGCTAATGACATCAGTTCTGTGTTGGTTTACTATTCTTCTTTGGGCTGCTGTGTAGTGCTCTTGTCTGGCTTCACCCCTTTTGATGTTATGTTTGTGTAGTCTCATCACTGATGCAGATTCACCTTCATTACTTTATTTGTTTAATCGAGCTGCCTCTCTGAGGGCATTCAGTATATAGCCCCGTCCATTGCTCGTCCATTTCCCACGTGAGCATCACTTGCAAATCTGTCAGCTCGTTCATCACCCTTTACACCAGAATCCCTTCGGAACAAATATGAAACTGATTTTCTGTGTGTGCTTTGTTGCCTAGATCTATTCAGAGACTCCACCCATTGTCTTAGTATGCAACTTTTCTTGATCTTCTTTAGCCTATTCATTGAGTCAGTGGGAAAGCATGCCTGTGTGAAAGTCAGTGTTTCTAGCCAGGCTATTGGTTTAGTTGCCGCCATGACCTTCACAGTCAAACTGCTTGTCATCAAGGGCAAGGCACAGCAGTCTTGTTTGACAGTTCTCCCTCAAACCTGAGCCATAAGTGCCCGGAAGCTCCTGACATTTCGAATGACAGACCTGTATGTGTAGATTTCAACACCCTCAGAAAAATGCTCACATATCAAGACCTGCACTTCCGCTTCGACAACTACTGGGTTGTCTTGTCTACATTCTCTATTCGGCTTGATGCATACTTCAAAGGACATATGACACTGGTAATACATGTACCCATTCCTACCCAAGTTCTGTGTCCTCAAGTAGAAAAACCTCTTGTATAATCTCTTTGTCTGACCCATCCATGATTTTCCTCTCTTCAATCTGCCGCCTTTTCTCTTCTTGAGTTCACTGTGCAGTGGGTATCGGCACTGACTCTGATTTTTGCTTGACATACTCGGCTCCAAAATCACCTACAGGTGGTTTGGTAGCAGACCACCTTTTCATTAGCTTTGACAAGATGCACACTACGGAGCAACAGGTGTTCTAGAAAGCCCCACAAACAACCAGTAAATGCTGGGGATGTATAGTGGCATCTGGAAATGGACAGGCTACTAAGATTGTATTGTCATAGTCAGTGTTGCCACTTTGGATGTTTTACATCCAGATTTGGATGTTTCCCCTTGCATTTAGAAAGCGTTTTTGACGTTTAGATGGTAGATGTTTTTTTTTGGGAGTGAATTTATCAAATCTAACCTAAGAAACAGGATGAAATTTGACCTCTTAAATGCTAGATCGACATTGAAATTTTGCCTGATAAGAGTAGGAAGTTCCACTTGTCAGCTCCCTGATTAGGTATTAAACGAAATTGGAACAGCTAAAGCATAAAAAGTTAGTTGCGTATCCTTTACAGGACGTTGCAGAACCAACCCTAACAGCCCCTGGCTGTTGTGTGGTTTCTCTTGGCAAATTTACGTCCAGTAGTTTGCCATTGCTTTCTGGACAGCTAAAGCATACCAGAGTTATTTTGGATCTGAAGCTTCAACTTCATCATCCAAGCTAAGTTTATCCTGTGGATCTTGTAAGGCAGACTTCAGTAAAGATGAGGACATGATTCGTTAGGGTGTTGTATCAGTTGCTATGTATGTAATTTGTGACTCTTTCCATTTGAATGTTTTTTCTAGATGTTTTCCATGCAAATTTAGATGTTTTTAGATATTTTTTTACTTCATTTTGGATGTTTTTTGTCAAAGAAAAGTCACAGCACTGGTCATAGTCTGTGTGGACGTTCAGTACTTTAAATGCACAATTTAGAATGTTACAATTAAACATTATACCTTGAGTAATTTAAGCATGTTGACCTCTCCTCAGAATAGTTATTTTCAGTTGAGATCAATTACTGTTTTAAAAACAAAAACACAACTTTACATGTTTAGGCAGAAACATGTGTGTTTGCCCAGTAGGATGTGTTAGGTATTTGAAATTTTTATATGTTTAAGCATCAAACTACATTGAGATATTCTTATCTGTACATCAAAACACAGTGAGATATTCTTATCTGTACATCAAAACACAGTGAGATATTT